CACACCTGCATTTGTATTAATGGCGATTATCCCATACTATTGGTGTAGGACTTCTTAAAATCGTATATCGATAATAAGGAAGATATTTGCATTTAATTACCTGAACATGGAAAGTCCTAGAGTAAGTGAACAAGAACAAATAGTGGCAACCAGGCCTCGGCGCGAGGTTTCCGATTGGACCTTACGAGAACGAATCCCCGCTTGAAAATCCAGGATATCACGAAGCCCCCTTTGTACACGTCAGACACGTGCAATCAGGACAAGCATTGCAGTGTTTTATACTTGGAGCGCGTTTTCTTCATTAAGACAATACGATTTAGGGCCCTAGCAAGGAAGAGAGAAAGTGTTTTGATCTGGTTATGATAAGTTGGGTCAAGGGATACACAAAAAGTGTTTGCTATGAGCAATGCAAAATTATGAGAAACAAAAAAGTGTTTGTTAATCGGAGACCTGAGGTCTCCCGTACGTCTCCGCCGGAGACCTAAATCACAAAAATGTACGGCGATTTCTCCATTCTCATAATATATAAAAGATTTTTCAAACACTTCTTCCACTCTTTGTTGTGCGTCTTCATGCCAATTTTGGTGGCTGTTCATCGCTTATTCGCTTAGAAAAACGGGTTCGAGCGATTTCCAAAATTGTTGTTCAAGTTTCCCGCGCAAACGCCCGCGTTGGAACGAATATTGAAATTTTGCAGGCTTTTGACGGTCTCTGAGTGTCTATGGAATTACTCTGAATTGGGTACTAAACAAGACGGAAGTAGTTAGGCCGCATGCATGAACATCCGCACTAGGAAGGAGAGGAGGGAGAGGGGGAGGAGGAGGTAGCTTCAACATTCTTGTTGTGGAAAAAGCGGTCTCAATTGAGATTGGACTCTTCTCCGGGTCCCATACGATTTCCCCTTTAGTTTTTCAACAAAAACGAATTCCAACTTGCCTTCCGGAGGCCTGCCGCCGAGGTTTGGTGGCAACTATTTGAGCAATTTTTGCATTTAATAGTTGGTTGATGTTTTTGGAAGATGGACAAATTATTGTGAAGAAGGAAGGAAGGTGTGGATAAATGTACTTTATGATGTCCAACTTTGTCGTTCTGTGTTGGATTGTTTTAACTACTTTAAACCAAGGGCCATTTCATGGAAATTTTACAAACTTTTACATAAAAATTTTTTTTCTATTGACCGAAAAGTTATTAAGTAAACTATCATATATGGTCTAAGAAACTAAACTATTTTAAACACCCGGGGGACTGGACACTTAGCAGGGTCATTTATGTTAAAAAATTTGATGCTCTAAGTAAGATATGTACAAGGCAACATAGGAAAATGTTCCAGTAACTTAGGGAAAATAAGAAATGAACGAAATTCGCAAATCGTTCAAGGCATCTTAAGGCTATATTCTACATTCTACTCATCACTGGGCCTTCTATTAGCAGAGAGGAATCTCAAGAAAAACATTTTGCGATAACAAAATGATTTAATTGTAGGCATTTTGTCTTTGACATGCAACTCAGATGAATGGGGGG